CATGGTACATTTTTGATGACATAAGTCAGTGTCATTTTTCCCAAGACAATGGCTAACGTTGACTCATAGTAAATTTCAATTAGAAGGCTTTAATATGTCATGACTTTTGCAGTTTGTCTGATCCATGGCTGCAAGAAACGAGCAGTGAATCATCTACTCTACAGTCCTCCATTTTTTAGGTACAGGGTCAGATAAACCACTTAATTTCTCTAGAGGAATTTTGCATGTGAAAAGAAAATTGTGTTGTATTTTACATATTTTTGCATCTATGTTAATCTACCAGTCACCAAAACTGGGAGAGAGTTTTGTTAAAAGTAGAACACCTGACAAAAACACACTTGGTCTAAAAAAGAGCACATCAAATATAAAAAAGTTCAAGACTTATTCCCAAAAAAAGATTTGCATGCTTTAAAATCCAAGAATACAGCACAGCTCATGAGGTTCAGAGTAGGTATAAAATTAACATTTTAAAATAAATAATTTGAACAACGTACTAAAAATTTTGATGCATTCTTTTTCAGCAGCAGACTTAAATGACATCTGGATAGCTTTTTTTTTTTAATAATTACAAGTCTCAACAAAAAGTAAGGAAGTGATAAAGAACTAGTATTATGTTACTAAATGTATAATAGTCATCCCACTTGCATATGTATTATTGCATTTTTGAGAGTGGTTCCAGGGGGAAAAAGAAAAAAAAAAGGTTGATCTACATTTAAATAAATCTTTTTGTGGGTTCAGTCTCAGAAACAGAAAACTAAAAATTACAGATTATCTAAAATTAACCTTTTTAAAGGTCTTAATAGAGGAAGCAAGTATGGAAACATTAAATATCCATTAAACAAGTTTTTCAGGAAATGTATTCTCTGCATTTTGCCAATTGTTTTTCAGTAGAAGACCTTAAGATTGTTCTGGCATATAGTTATAGTTAGAAGAATCTCATTTGGCAATTCAGTTCTATGCCAGAACAATTCCATCACTTCCAACAGCTGCTCTCAAAGTACAATAGTAGAAATGAGCACACTAGTAAATTGCTTGAATGATATTAGTAAAATTTTTTTACTATCTTATAAATTTATTTTAAAATTACTTCAGAAAGGGAAGACCAGCCGGTCATTACTCAGGAAAGAGAAAAAAAAAAAGCCAAACCACACAACAGTTTAGACTAATACATGTCAAAGGAGTCCATTAATAAAATGAAGATGCTTTCTTTATAGTCTAAATTCTAAATAGTCATTGCTCACTTAGGACACAACAGGCTTTCAGCTTGAAGCATTGTGTTCTAACCAGAGTAGATGCAAAGGACCAAATCTACTTTTAACGTGAATCTCCTGTTTTAAGACTGATGCAAAGATACTTTTATTGAGGAAAAGCTTTGATGCAGAATAGCTGTGTTTTAAATTTCTATGCTTTACAAAGCACTTCTATATATACCATTTCTGTTGTATATTAAATTTTTCTTGGGTGCCTTCTACTGCTATATTTAGGAAGTCCTGGAACTGCAAGCAGGTGGAACCAATCCAGCATGACTGCTCAACAGGTATTGGCTTCTCATAAACAAGAAGAAAAATATTTTAAAAAAGAAAAAAAAACCAGCTGATTTAATCCTGAGACCTTTTAGCAGCAACTTTCTAACCGAATCTAGAGGTCAAAATAATGAATGCCTGTTATTGTCTTCCACAATTAACTGTGGAAAGGTGGTTAAGAACAGAACTTGAACTGTCTTTCAGCTCTGATTTTTTTTTGTGCTCTGAGAGTTCCAGAGTGATTGCTTTGGCCAGTGTGTTTTTCTGTGACTCAAGGTGAGCCTTGTTGCTTTGTTAAACCTGAACTAGTTGTGTAGAAGTTATCTAGTATAAGACGGAGGTTTGACGGCTGAAAGAGGCATACAGTGAAGCTTCTATCTCTGATAGGGAAGTAGATTTTATTTTGTACAGTTCCTCTTTTAATCCTCTGAAGATTGTGAATACCATTTCAGTTTAGGCAACTTTGAGTCACCCTCAGGCAGAAACCACCTGTCTCCCTTGACTTTCTGTGACGTTCAGCCTTATCTTTAGAGATGCTCTGGCTTGCATCTAAGCTTCCTCACAAAGGTAAAAGGAAGATACAGTCACTTAGCATGCCTGAGGGGCACACAGCCCAGTGCCAGGACTGGGACTGATGGCTAGCTATGTAGGCTCTCAGCTTGACATTACAGTAATCTCAACCACTGTGCTTTTAAGATTCCACTTCCCACCCTTCTACCCACCCACACCCCCAAAAAAGGCTGGGAGTTGGAATTTTTGCATCAATCACACCTTGTCTGCAAAACATTAGAGATTATGAAGAAGAATTTACATATTTATAGGGGATGAGAGAAATTATTTAAGGTTTTGTTCTAAGTAATGTTTCTCAAACTTGAGAAAACTGTTTATGCTTCTAATCAGAGGCTCTGGAGAGAGGGTAAGGGGTTAAGAGATTTATCTGGCATTTTATTAAGAACAAAGAATGCTACAGTTCTCCCTGATACTTTGCATAAGACTTTAATTTAGTGCTGTTAAGAGAAGCTACTGACAACATGCACACTGTGTTTCTTATAGACACACAGCAATAAGATCAGCAGGGAGTAGGGTTTTTTAAAATAGTGTTGTTCAAGACAGTGTGAGTGCAACAAAACTAAAGATAAAACCTTTACACAAGTAAATCCACCATCATATGCACTTGCTTTTAAAAGCTATGCTTTATTTTGCATGAAGTGTGTACTTTAAATTTCTCAAAATAGGAGACCTTCATTACCAAACTTTAGCTGGCATATTTTTGATTTGCAACCCCTGATGTTTCAACAGATTTGGTATATTAAAGGTTTGGCTTAGGGAGAAGTGGATTTCAGCACCAAGAGGAAGAAGTTTAAGTTACTCTCATATTAGTGATTTTGTTTGGTTGGTTTTGGGGTTTGGGGGCAGGGAGGTATGGTGCGATCTTACTTCTTAGTGTTTGATAGCTCTTGTTTGAATGGGTTGGGTTTTGTTTGGTTTCTTTTGTTGTTGTTGCAGTTGATTTGTATTTGTTCTTCACTTTTTCTTTTTCTTTTTAATTAGAGCTTGGTTATTGATATTGTGGATTTTTGAACTCCCAATGATAGTAGTGATATTGTGGATTTTTGAACTCCCAATGATAGTAGACTTCATATATATAAATATATATATATGCATATAACCTTTTTTATCTCCTTCCTTGGTGGGGAATAGTATGTCCTGATTGCAGTACTAAATTATTTCTAGAGAAATTAAATTACTTTTTCCTTTTTCTCATACTAGTATGGCATTCTGGCTCCAGTTTGCCATATATAGTGGTTTCAGTGTCAGGAAGCTCAGATAAACACTGTCTTATTTGCTTTGTCCTCACAATTTACCAGTTCTAGAACAGATCATCCAAACTGGTAATCTCTTCTTTCAGAAATCTCAGCCTACACAGCAACATCCAGGGAGAATCTCTGCCTCAAGAGTTGAATCTAATCAGAGACCAAGCCAGGGAACAGATTCTCCTGGTGCTTACACCAGCTATTTCTAAATGCAAAAGTTTACATGACAAAACCATCTACAAAACAACAACAGTTTTTCAGAGTCTGATCACACACTAAGAAAATAACTTGGAGGAATATGGAGAAAATCCTGGTTATTGTACTGTAAGCACTGAATCTTGTGGAAGGATTATGTACTGTAAGAAGAGTCAAACTGTGAAAAAGCCTAGGAACCAAATGAGAGAATATGCAGTATAAGGGACATTATAATAGCAGAAATAATATTGTGTCTGTTTTCCATTCTGATGAAACTGTGGTTTTTTGTGGGTTTTTTTGTGTTTTCTTGGTTTCTCATAGAGTTTCTGTAGAAGCAGTTTGCCCATGGTGTGGTTGTTTTGAGGATTTCAAGCTTTGGTCCACCTATGTCTCTGTGACATCCTTACTGCCTTTTAGCACTAGTACGAATCAGCAGCCACTGCAGTACAAACTATAACTGTAATGAACCTTCTTTTTTCTTTATAATCACTCCATGTGAGTTTATGTCATCCTTATCTTTCTGCTGAAGATAAATGAATTCCTCTAGAAATTGCGTCTTCTGTTGAGTAAAGACCTGCTTCATTCACATTTAAAATTTAAAATACAAATTAATCTCTATTATACTGCTACCTGTGTTCAAGTTTACAGTTTCTTTTCCTGGAAATCTTCTTCTGATACTCAAGAATATCCCAACTGTCTGGTCATTATATTTTAAAAAGAAGAAAAATACAAAGAAATCTCAGTTACATAGATATAAATATAGTTAAGCATTCATTATTTTATGTATGCATACATATATATGATAATAGGTATGTGGTTATGCTTATATATAATGTTAATTTCTTAATATAAACTCTGAACTGTTTGTTCAACTTGTCATTGATAATGTAAAATTAATTTTATCCTTCTGGGCTATATAGATAATAATTAAACTTTTATATCAAAACCCTTGGAACAGAAGGTATTTTCAGACTTCTTAAATTATTTTACCTTAGCCAAAATAATTATATTAAAGTTATTTAACTAAAAACCCAGAATGTGAGCTTTATAATTTAGAGACTTATTTAAAATTTAGATAACAATTCAAAGGAAAAAAGAAACCAACACCCATAAGTTCTAAAATTCTTTTTATTGAAGAGAGGATTTTCTGTCCTGGAGGGTAAATTCTAAAGGATGTGTTGAAAACCTGTAAGAAAAGAGCATTATGGTATCTCCTACATCTTGTAGCATTCTTAGAAATGAGAAAGGAAGAAAAGCATCACAAGGGATTTCAAATCCTCCAAATAATTTTTTTTGCTTTTTAATTTCTTATTTTTTTTTTCATTTAATATGCTCTGATTGTTATTTTTTGAACTTTGTGGTAATCTCCAACTTAGTGTATCTGAAGAATGAAAAGATTCTGAAGTGAACAAAAGCTAAAATACACAGATTCAAATTTTATATCAAATTTAATTAATTTTCTCTGTATTCTATTAGCATATCAGGATAGATAAGGAGAGGACTGACACCATTCATGAAATTAAAATTTTTATGTAAGACATAGTTTGCACAGTTATTAATCAAAGAGAAACACATGTTAACCAAATGAAAAAAAAAAACATTGTCTTGATGAAGTACGCTATTTCAAAGCACAATAACTATCCTGATGTAGTAAAAATACAAGAATGTGATCAGAAAATGAAGATTAATATTGTTAGGAGCGGTAATTGTAGCAGCACTGAGAGCAGCACTGGCAGGAGCAGTAGGAGTAGTTTTAAATGATAATTTCATTAGCCAACAGTTATGCCTTTAAAAAAATAAGAAAAAAATCTCTCTTGGTTTCCATCAGGCAAACAGCTGCCTGCCAGCTCTTGGACACTGAAGGGATCAGTACACCAGCCCCACTCCCACTTTACCCATCTGCCAAGCTCTCCTCTCACTTTGCTGTGCTGCACTGAGATACTGCTTATTGTCACTCTGCTTGCCAGGCATCCTTTGGCTGGGTCCAGCTGACACCTAGGTCATTGAATGGAAGAGAAATGTGGGGTTGCAGCTAGGGGTCTGCTCCTTAATGGGAAGGTTTAGTCCAAAGAGCCTTGGAGAGGGTCAAGACAGCAGGATTCCAAGCCTACCATGTAATATGCCTGAGTTTCACCACTTGTCACATGGTCCAGTGCTGAGGTCTCACAGGTTGAGAGAAGAGAAATTAGGATGTCTTTACAGGATGTGCTGCAGGCAATTTCTGTGAGAATATTGAAGTGAGAGAGAAGTCAGCATATTCCTGTAACTTTAGAAGTAGATTGCTTAAATATTTCCATGAAGCAATTTGAAGATTGCCAGTTTAACACTTTCCAATGCAACTTTTAAATTGGTAATGCTTCTTATTTTGTGATGTTAGTCCCACTTTTTTTCTGTACAATGTTACAATGTGATTTTGTTTGATTTTGCTTTTTATATTGTGCCTGAGCCTCTATAAAGTACATTATGGAATACCAACATGTGTTTTCACAATGATCTCAAGTTATAAAACATTTGCAAACACTTTTGGAGTCAGGTCTTGAGTTCTAATCCAGTCTCATCAGTGAATGTCTGTGAAATTTATTCATGGGTATTCACATATGAGGTACTGTTATTCTTGTCAGTATTGTCTGTTTACTGTGGAAACTCTCTAGAAGAATGATTATATCTCTGATTCAAATCTCCTTGAGTCTAATGCATTCCATCTGGAGAGCCTACATGCTTGTAAAACCGCTGGTACGACTGGGAGGACCCTTTGTGTGGTATTCTAATGTAGTCTTCTGAAATCTTTAAGTGTTTCCGAGACAGGTTTCTATTCTATTCACTTTCAAATGAGTTATTCATTTCAGTGAGATTACTTCAAGCCTTGCAGCATCTTTTGCATGACAAAAACTAAGCTAGAAATCCAGACAGGATCCACATCACAAAACAGTATAATGTTTGGTCTAATGATTAATCTAAGAGCCAGAAGGAGCTGGTTATGCAAGCTCAGAGACAATGAGCTCTCACTATTCAGCATCCCACTTCTGCTGCTGATTTACAGCAATAATTCTGTGATTTGTAGCCCTTGGTTTTGAGCATTGCCATTAAATTTCTCTTTCAAGTTGGACAACAGTTCCTTTGATTTTACTACACATGAGGTTATTGCATGTAAACTATTGACTTCATAACTTCACTGTGCTCTTATACACTGTTTCTCTGTGATAGTGAGCTTCTTATCTTAGGACACCAAATAAATTTACAGATACTTAACCCTCCTCAGTTCATTCAGGATTTGATTACTTTGTGCATCACAGAAATGACAAAAAAGCAGGGTAATGATATAAAGACAGCATTGTTACAATATAAAGATACTAAAAGATATTTTTTTTTCTCTGAAGTAAAGCCTGAGCACTTTCCTGGAGTATATGAACAAATTATATAAATGTCTGTAATCTAAAATACCTGAAGACCCTTACTCTGACATGTATTTTTTAAACTTACATATTTGGAAATTACTTTTAAAGAGTTCTTAATTGTTCTTGTGATCCTCAAAAGGATTTTTGATTAAATCCCTTTCCCACCTGATTGTATTTTTCTCTGACAGCTGGAGCTTGTATTCTATCTGTAGCTCAAGTGAGTTCTTCAGATATAGACGTGTCAGAATTTAAATGAAACCATTCATTTAAATGTTCCTTTCTCTCCACTGTCACAAATGCTTATCCAGTGTCAGTGTATGTGGATAAAAATATCTTTTATAGGTAGTAGGGAACCCTGGTTGTGCTGGAGGAGTCTAGAGTCACAGACGAAATCATAGCAATTCAGAACCCTTAGTGTCTGCAAAGCACAGCCAGTCACTACATACCTCTGGAATTCTGATCTTCCAAGCCAGGAAACTTCATGCACCCTAATGTGACTTTAGTCCTACACCTTTCTGCAAAGAGAAGCTGGTGTGTGTGTGTGTGTGTGTGAATTGACACCTGCAGGTAACCAGACCACCACCCCAAAGCCACCGCTGAAATGCAAAGCTCAGATTTACTTAATTACCTTGCTAACAACAGGCAGCAGAGACAAGTGGGGACACAGGCTCAGCTCATCCCCGTGGACACAGACACATGGGCACATGGGCTCCAGTAGGCTTAGTCCATCCTGGGAAAAAGACACATGAGGACACAGGCTCCAGTAGGATCATCCCTGTGGACAGAGGTGCATGGGGACACCGGCTCCGTTAGGCTCAGCTCAGCCTGGAGCACAGCAGGGTACTGCCCCAGTGCAGCAAAAGGCTTCACAAACACAGTTTATCACAAAGCTGGGCTTTTCTGCCCTCACTCTCTCCCAGCAGGAGGCTCAAGAATATCTGTGAGAGTGTGATATCTCTACACAGGAATTCTGCTTCCCACAACAGGCAGGGAACGATCAGCTCTAGGTATAATAAATGAGTTTTCCCATGCCAATACTTTTAGTATTCCCAGTTGCAAGGTCACTTTGAGTGAAACTATTCCCTCCTCTTTTCCAAATCTTCCAGTTTTAACCCTTTCCTTCCAACAGTGTGTAAGCAGAAGGCCTGGCAAGCATGCTGCTATTATGGATCTGCATTTTGCCTAGAGTGTATACCCAGATCATATTCTCAGCCTCTTGACACTGACAAAGCCTATGATGAAATCACCAGTCCCTGAACACCTGTGTTGCTTGTTCATGACACGCTTAGGTGGTCTCAAGCATCTACTGAGGACTGCTTCTGTCATGGCATTCCCCTTCAAGGGAAGGGGTTTGTTAGAATTCAAGTCTGAATGAAAATTACTAACACTGGAGATTACAGCCCAGTAAAGTAGAAATTGTCGTGAAATGCACAATTGCTCTTTAGTTGTGTTTTACATGTCAAGTTTGCTCTGTGAGATTATCATTATTAGATTTAAAAATGTGTATTTATGTATAGTATGAAGTATGTGCTTTGATCTTCAATTGACTATGCTGGAAAACCATAATTGCCCATGGTACTGTCACCTCCTTGACTCTGTGTTAGTGTTACCCTATGTCTGTAAACTGGCTAATGTTAAACTTGAGTTCCACTGTTGTCCTCTAGTAGCTGCATTTCAGAAAACAATTTTATATAGCATTATAACAATTTTTGAAACTATTGCTTTGATTTTTTTGTCCTGAAAATGAGAACCATATATTTCTAACTTATGAACAATTCCAAAAGTGCTATCTGTAAATGATTCCTAAACTAATGAAAATTCAAGGAATTGTTCTTGATAGGAGTCTTTTGTGTGACTGCAGGAATGAATGTGGTCATTACTGCACTAAGGAACTAAGTGTGGGGAAAGTGTTCAAGTAACATTTACGCATACAGATAGACATGCACATAAATGTACATATATAAATCCATATTTCTACCATATACATATCTATGTGTGTAATGTGTATACACACACACACACAAACAATCTGGCTTTGCAGAAAACATCTGTTTGTGATTGTGGTTTGACTTGCTTCCATGAGGCATTAAGTTCCTTTATCATAACCATCTGTCATTTTTGTCATGTTTACCGAATTAATTACAGAATTTTAAACAGCTCATTTAAAACAAACCACAAACAAAATTACTATCTGGTGAGAGCAGTTTATGAATAATATGTGTATTCTTACTGTGAGGACAGTAGCCACTATTAAGATTAAGTCATTCATCTAGTCTCTGAAGTTTTTGGGCTATAATATTACATCCTGTAATGTAAAAAAGCTCATGCTGTTATAAACAAACCAAAAATCCTTCAGAATTAGTGAGCTACACAAAAATCAGTGTAAAGGGAAAATAAATTTAATCTTTAAACTCCATTTCTTCATTCAACAGTGGGAGATCAAACCTTTGAATTGCACTTTGAAGACAAATTAACTTTTGGCATAAGTAGGAGCAGCTTTCCAAGTCAATAGAAGTACAGCATTTTCATTTGCTGATGCAGAGCCCTGGATTTACTTTAAACCTCTGTTTCCAGCACATGCAGAAGGCTTGCTTTTAGAAATCTTTCCTGTCTTAAACCTCTGTAAATTTTAGGATGGATTTCCATCTTTTTATTATCACTATCACTGTGATAATGTTGTGGGGGAGAGATGATTACTGGCCCTTGTATTGCGTTTTCTTGTTCCAGTTTCATTTGGGACAAACTGGGAGAAAATGCAAAAACTGTGGCTTTCTCTTGTATGTATGGGCATTCTTGACTAAGTTGTGTAATAAATATTAGAAATGGTCAAACTGTGTCATTAAAAAATAAGTCATTCTATTATGCATTAATTATTTCTGAGAGAGTACACAGTGGAAATATTTGGCTAAGTTCTTGCCAAGTGTCAGGGTTGAACAGTCTAACTCATTATACAAATGGTGCTCTTTTTTCCTTTGTTTTTACAGTCTGTACTAATTATGGAGACATTAGTAAGATTAGATGTCCCCAGTTATGCCAGTTATGCAACAGTGTATCTTTATTTTTGATATGGGTATGGTTTCAGTTGAAGCATATATCTAGTGGCTGTTACCCTTCCTCATTTCAGGATATAACCTCTGACAGACTCTAGACATGTGGTTGGGCTTCATGTCTTCATTTGCTCTCTCACAAAAGCTCTCCACCTTCCCACAAATTGCTAAACAATTACTTTGCTTATCATCTGCAATGTACATTTTAATTTCATCACTTTCAATCTGAATTCTTCCTGAAGATCCTGGGTTCCTTTGATCTTTGAGATGAAAGTAATATTCTCAGTATGTTTTTATTGGCACCTTTCCAGCTTTCCTTTCTTGTTCTCTATAACCAAACAACTGCATACTAACACATTATGATACAGAGCTGTCACTATTTTAAATACTCAGTCCCATTTGCTCTTAATTATTGCACATTTAAACTGAAAATTCTCCATTTCTAAAGATGATATAGGTTTGTATGCATTCTAATTATGCAAACTAAATTAATTTAGACTACATAATAAAGTAAACCAAACAAAAAGAGAAAGCTAAAGTGGAAAATAAGTGCACAGAAAAAGCTATTTTATGAGTACATTAGAAACTTTTAATTTAACAGTAGAAAGTAAAGAAATGTCATAATCAAAGTTGCATCTTCAACAAATGCTTTATGACGGTCTTTAATTGTGTGTATGAGCAACTGGAGAAAGTGATTAGTGGCTCAAAACAACCAAAGAGAGTGAACATGTGTGAGTGTGTGTGTGTGAGGGGACAAGGCAAGTTCTGTAAAAGTGGGGTGGTGTTCTGGCCCACACCCTGTCCCCTTTGGAGCCTCCAGAGCAGCTCTCAGTCACTGGCAAACCTGGAGCAATGCCCCACAGTCAGCCTCTGGAGTCTCAGTGTAGCCCCAAAGTGGCCAGATGATCAGAAGCCCCATCTGCAGGGAAGCACTGACCACAGGAGACCAGAGCAGATACAAAAACATTACACAAAAAGTCACATGGTTTGTTCCTATTTACCTTGGATTTTATGGTAGCTAAGACAATTCTGGATCCAGGGGTGATACCTATCTCTCTTTTTTTTTCTGTTCTTTCCTTCTCATAGTTTCCTCTTGAAATCTGAGAAATTTAATGTTGGAAGAGTTGAGTTTGCTAAATTAATGTTTTGTGAAATGCTTTATTTTGATTGAATGTTTGTTTTACATTTCAAGTTCCTGAAATTTCAAGATCAAGTTCCTGATCTTTTAAAGTTTGCCATTACAGTTTGGTTCTCCAACCACCTGAGAAATTTTTTCAAGTTTTTCTTTGCACTATCTCAAGTAAAACAGATACTTTAAGTCCCTTTTAAATAAACTCACTAAGTGGGGCTTTACAGTATGACCTTACTCTGGGGAAAAAATGCCTTGAATATATTACTCTGATTCATCTGTAAAAAAGGCCTCTTTATTCAGTGATAAAATCATATTTTAGAAAAAAATAGTGTGACAAAGTAATTAAAAAATATATCATACGGTTTACAACAAAAGTACAACCCTAATTTAAACATTTCATTTTTTTACTGATTACATAACCTTGAGTGCCACAATTAACAACTTTATTCTGGTATGTCCTATCTTTATTTGACTCGCCTTTCAAGACTGATTTAAAATACTGTCATATTAAGTTTTGTATGAGTTACAGGAATAGTATGAACTTGCAGAATAGATAGTATATAAGGAAGTCTGTGTAGGATGTGATCAGATTTAAACAGAGGTGCCAGAAATAAAGAAGGATTTCACTGGATATTCCTGCACTTTTTTCTTGTAGTAGTTATATCAGCACATAGAAGCCAAGTTTTTTCATTGGCTTAATGAGTCTAGGTTTGAAGGTTTACCTAGTGGGGTAACAAAAGTGACTTAGCTGCTCCCCCTGGACCTCCTGACTGTGCTGACCCACAGACTTCATGGGTGCATTCAAGCTGGGACTGAGAGTTTCAGGAGTTTTCCTGGGCAGTCAACACTTATTCCAAGATGGTACAGGTTTACAACAGTTCATCTTCACATTTCACCTTCTTTTAGTACATGATCCTGGTTTATCTACCAAGTCTAACTTTCAATGCCATTAAAACTCCTCACTACAAAGTGTGTATGCCCAGAAGTTTCCGTTTTCTACACTGCCTCTGCTGTCACAACAATTAAAGGTTTCTGTTCTCCAAAACTCTTCTATGAAACCCACTAAAGATGATATTCATACCCTCAGCAGAGGCTATTGTATAGTATTTTCATATTGTAATAATATTGTAAAATAATATTTACAATCCCTTTCCCAGTGGTTTTGCTTCTGAGAGGTGCTTTCATCCGGAGCCTATGATCTGACATCACACTTCAGCACTTGTAACCACAAGTACTGAGAGATTCAAGTTTGCCAGACAGCTCAAATCAAACACAGCATACTGGCTAGCCAGCCTCACAGACAAATACTGTAGCTCATATGCCAGATACCACTGAGTCCCGTGGCAGCCCCCTTTCAGTCCCTGTTGATACCTGTCCAAGCCCAGGCTTTCCCTGCTAGGAAATCCTGGACAGCCCATATGTGTTAAATTTTAACAAGAAACAGCCCCCATGTGCAACGGGAATCTCCTCTCCTTCACCAGAAATACAAGTAGGAAATGATCTGGTGAAAAGGAAGAGGAAAACTCCTTCCAGGCTGTGCAGTCGCTGCTG